AGAGGGAGTCAAGCTATTCTCTCTTAAATATGTTTTATTTCCATTTCATTTCGTACAAGCTATTCTCCAAAGCACCCGAGGGTAGGACAAGAAGCAATGGTCGGAAACTAATCAAGGAGAGAAGCAACTTAGAAACTGAGGAGAAATTTCCTGACAGTTAGAATAATTAATCAGTGGAACAGCTTGCCTCCAGAAGTTGTGAATGCCCCAACACTGGAAGTCTTTAAGAAGATGTTGGATAGCCATTTATCTGGATCAGTATATAGTTTCCTGCCTAGGCAGGGGGTTGGACTAGAAGACCTCCAAGGTCCCTTCCAACTCTGCTATTGTATTGGACTTTGTTTTTCCTATAATATGTTTTGCTTCTCATCCAAGAAGCTTCTTGGATGAGAAGCAAAACATCTTAAAGGAAAAACAAAGTCCAGCAGCCTTTTGAAAAAGCACCTTTGGGTTAGCTCTTGATCAAATTTCAATTACTGGAAATACCAGTTACATTTGGGATGGGATCAGAACAAAACACAAAAGGTCATCTCACCTGCTTTGGATGATTCAGCGTACTAATATGGGACAAAAAAGGATCAACTTTCCTTGTTAGGGTACTTGGCTGAGAATACACAGGCCTCATGAAGGTGAAATCACTTCTGTCTGTCCCTGAAGAATGCCTGGATTTATGGGGCTGGCTATGGGAGTCTGCAGCCCTCAGTGTCACTTCCACGTTTTCCAGGGTACCATTCGAGTTGAGTTGCAGTTTAGGACTGGAGTATTTGAAAAGATCCTCGATAGGAGCATTGTTCGTGGTGTAAGAAAAATCTTTGTCTTTTCTTTTCCAAAAGCATTTTGCAGACAAGACAATTAAAGTAATGAGAGAGACAATGCTAACCACCACCAGAGCTATAATCAGATACAGTGTCAAATCATATTTTTCTTTGGGATTATTTAAGAACTCATGAGACTCTGAACTTTCCACAGATGCTTTTTCCTCTAGTGAGACCAAGATTGTAACAGTAGTGGACAAAGGTGGCTTTCCATGATCCTTTACAAGGACAAGGATTTTCTGTGCAAGAAGATCTGTTTCTTGGAAGCTTCGAACAGTCCGTATTTCCCCAGTGTATGGCGCCATTTGAAACAGGGAGGCATTCGTAGATTGGGGGAGTAAGGAGTAGGACAGCCAGGCATTATGACCAGAATCTATATCCACTGCTGTGACTTTTGTGACGACATAACCTACTGGTGCCAACAGAGGGATTCTCTGGAGTGCTGACAATTGCTGGCCAGTCACTGGATACAAAACAACAGGAGCATTATCATTCTGATCCAATATGAAGAGATGAACAGTAACACTGGAGCTTAGTATGGGTGTCCCAGCATCCTGCACAGTAACAAGGATTTGCAACACTTGAAGCATTTCATAATCAAAAGAATGCTGGGCATATATATTCCCATTATCTGGGTTGATATAAATAAAAGAAGAAAGGAGAGCATCTTGGACCTGATTTCCAGCCACTGAGTAAGTGAGCCGGGAATTATCACCCTCATCAGGATCAGAGGCAGATACAGTGCACAACAGAGAGCCAGGTGCATTGTTCTCTTTCAAGAAGGAGTTGTAGAAATGCTGAGAGAAGGATGGTGTATTATCATTGACATCTGAAATGTTCAACAAGACAGTCAAATCTGTAGTTAGAGGTGGAATTCCTGAGTCTTGGGCAGTGAGCTTTATAGTATATTGAGAGACTGTTTCTCTATCCAGCTTTGCATGTGCAATTAAGGAAAAATGATTTTCAAATGATTTAATTTTAAAGGGTAAGTTCGTTGGTATTTGCAAGCTTACTTTTCCATTGTCACCTGAATCTTGATCTCGCACACTGAAAAGCCCCACCACTGTTTCTAAAGGTGTATTTTCTGGCAGTGGATTTACCAAGGAGGTAAGCAGAATATCTGGGCAATGATCATTTTCATCTTCAACTTCTATTTGGATAACACAGTGGCCTTCCATCTGTGGTATGCCCTTGTCTCTGGCTCTTATGTGAAGTTCATAAAATTGGGATTCTTCGAAATCCACAACTCCTTGAATATAGATCTCACCTGTTTGGGGATCTAAACCAAACAATGTCTGGATGGAATCTGATGTCTGGATTCCAAAAAAATACTGTATTTCCCCATTAGAACCTGCATCAGGATCAGTTGCATTGAGTTTAAAAATTAAAGAGCCTACAGGAATGTTTTCCAAGAAATGTATCTTGTACACAGGCAAATCAAATGTTGGCTCATTATCATTATTGTCAAGGACCACAATGGTGAGCTGACTTGTTCCTGACAGGACAGGGTCCCCTCCATCATAGGCAGTCAAAATCAGCTGATGTTCTGATTGCTTTTCTCTATCCAAAGGCTGGTCTAGCACCAGTTCAGGTAAAAGCTTGCCATCATTCACATTCTTTGTATCAAGTATGAAATGAGGATTGGGACTGAGCTGGTAGGCACTGACTGCATTGGTCCCAACATCTGCATCATATGCACTCTTGAGTGGGAACTGTGATCCTGTAGCAGCAGATTCTGCCACCCTCAATACAAGCCAGGGAGTGATGAAATTGGGTGAATTGTCATTCAAATCCAGAATCTCTACCTCCAGGTGAAAGAGTTCCAAGGGATTTTCAATTACTACTTGCACAGGCAGGATGCACAGTGAGCTATCTCCACAGAGAGTCTCTCGATCTATCTTTTCATTCACCATCAGAGCACCACTGTCCAAGTTAATTGCAAAGTACCTCTTACTTTCCTCAGAGCCCAGCCAAAGCCTACGACTTGAAAGATCTGCCAGTGTTAAGCCCAGGTCATGTGCCACCTCTCCCACCATGGTCCCCAGCTTTGATTCCTCCACAACAGAATAGCGGATCTGTTCTGTAATCAACACCCAGTTGAATAATAAAAATAAGCCCAGTACTTGCCATTTGCAAGAGAGTTCCCAGGTCAATTGTGGCTCCATCTCAGAAAATCTTCTTGTAGTTTCCCATTTATCAAGAGATTTTTCAAGACCTGGATGAGTTCTGTTGATAAAATCCCTCTCCTTTCCAAATGAATATAAGTAGCTTTTGATCTTGCTCAGCTGCAACAACGTTAGTCAGAAAGGTGAGGGGGTGGATTAGGGGAGGGAAACTGAATTACAGCCATGAGGGAGGAAGAAAGTCAAGGCGGAAAGACTAGATCCTTTCCTTCCATCAGAAATCTGATCAGCAGCTGAATAGAGGATTATTCCATATAGTCTTTACCACTGACAGTACCACCTACACCTTTACAGTAGCAGCAACATGCAGAGTTGAGATAGCACCCAATGAAGCAGGCTGGTTCGTCACTGGTTTTGGCAGCTATGTTTAGCAGCTCAGATTCTTGTTCTCAAGGAAACGGCACATCCGGCAAGCATGAACAGTACAAATTTTCATTGTTTACATTCTCTAGATTGTTCCATTGCATCTGAACAAATAAGAAAGTCTCTTTATCCAGAATGATAATATTCCAAAGTAATCTGATTTTCCATTTGTATTAAAAGTAGTACAAGGAGGAAAAGAAAAGAACTTACCTTCCTTCCTTCCATCCATCCATCCATCCATCCATCCATCCATCCATCCATCCATCCATACATACATACATACATACATACATACATACATACATACATACCAGGGGTGGGTTTCAACCGGTTCGCGGCGGTCCTTGTGAACCGGTTGGTCGGCAAACCCGGAACTAAGTAAGTTCCGGGAACGGCAAAGGGTCCACCCGCCCGCGCTCCTTACCCGTTTTTGATGAGTTCTGTGCTTCCATGCATGCGCAGGACGCATACAGCGCCTGCGCGATCCTCCAGGAGCAGCTGGAGCATCGCACAGACGCTAGTACGCATGTGTGCACCGCGTGCATGCACGAGGACGCCACCGAACCGGTTGGAACGGGGCGAGAAACCCACCCCTGATACATACATACATACATAATATGGTCTGCTTGTTTTTGGCTCAGCATGATGTGTGAACCTGCCCACTGCAACATACCATTAAGTCTAAGCCTGGGTTAGTATTATGTACTGTATGAATGGACACATTCTATGTCAACATAAGACATCCAATTATACAAATAATCTCTTCTTCTGTGTTTTGTTTTCTTATTTACTTCTGGAAAATTACCCAACAAAATTTCTTTTGTAACAGAAACCAATTGTTGAAATTTAACCTAATATATGTAGTCCTCAATTTACAACAGTTTGTTTAGTGACCATTCAAAGTTACAATAGAACTGAAAAAAGGACTTACCACCATTTTCCACACTTATGACCATTGCAGCATCTCCATAGTCACATAATCAAAATTTGGATGATTGGCAACTGACATGTATTTCTGATAGCTGCAGTGTCCCAGCGTCATATGATCACATTTTTTGATCTTCTGACAAGCAAAGTCAATGGGGAAGTCAGATTCACTTACAAATGTGTTACTAATTTAATAACTGCAATGATTCACTTAACAACTGTGGCAATAAAGGTTGTAAAATGGCGCAAAAGTCACTTAACAAATGTCTCACTTAGCAACATAAATTTTGGGCTCAGTTATGGTTATAAGTTGAAGACTATTGGTACCTATGTTCCCATTAATTAAAAACATTACTTCTTATCAAATCTTTGAGTCTTTTTAGACTTATTTTAAAATATTTTAAAGAACTGTTTAACACAAAAATCTCTCCCAAAGAATTTTTAATTTGTAAGATGTCCATTTTAATACAAAACCTGTTTCACATGGCTTTAGTCATCATTTTCAACATTAAGACATCCAAATCAAAACTACTACTACCCAAAGAAAAACATTTCATATCACATTTCATTTGCCTTTTGGAAAAGGCAGCTAGCTGGAAGAGTACCTATTGCTAATATACCCCTATATTATATGACTGACTGCTCATATCTCATGTTTCTTCCTTCTGAAGAATGAGTCATGTCAGATCTTTGGAGACTACATGGAAAAATACTTCTAATTTTCATAGTTTTATTAAATTATAATATAACATACAAAAAGAATACAAAAGCAAATATTAGGTAAATTAGGAAAGGAAAAAGGGAAGTGGATAGTGGGGGAAAGCAAGGGAAAAATAAAAAAGGGAGACACTGATTTCCGACTCCTTTGGTGCAGTAAAATAAGGCATTAAGATCTATCCTCAACTTTTTACTTTTTCATAATAATAGAAACTAGCCATTTCTAAAACTATATGGAAAAATACCTCTAATGAAAACTGAAGGAAATTAATCTTTTACTCTATGGAGTCAAGCATGTTGAGACAACATCAATGTTTTTCCATTTAAATGGATTTTTTTTTCTTTCAGGTATTGGACCAAGCCATATCAGATATCTTATTTTCAATCTTTAAATCACTTCAAGTTTAAATATATATAAAGAAAAACGTACAAAGTGCCAAGATTGCCGGCAGAATAGAATAGCAATAGCACTTAGACTTATATATCACTTTGTAGTGCTTTACAGCCCTCTCTAATCGGTTTACAGAATCAGCATATTGCCCCCAACAATCTGGGTCCTCATTTTACCAACCTCAGAAGGATGATAGGCTGTCAACCTTGAGCCGGTCAGAACTCCTGGAGTGAGCAGTGAATTAACCTGTAGTACTACATTCTAACTACTGTGCCACCATGGCTCCTCCTATTCATTGTGGATATAATTGCCATGCTGATATTTGAGATTAGATATCAAAATGGTTCTGGCTGACTTAAGTGAGATTTAGGATTTAACTGTAAACCTTTGGGAAGGCCATCTTATTCCAAAATAGTCTGTCTGATCTGACTCTCTCATGGAAAGGTTGAAATTTTGAAAATGCTTAGGATGTGTCTTGTTATAGCTTATAGCTTATAATAAATGCATGCATTCTGTTACTCTGGTGACCAAGGAAAGTCCTTGTCCTGAGAAAAGTATGGTTTCTTAGCTTGATGCCCACTTTGAGTTAATAGTATATCTTGAACTAGAAGTGAATCTATTGAATTTAGTCACTGAACATTCATTGTAGATGAATTTTAGTCACTGAAAATGCATCATAATGGATATTCCATTATACATTTGACCAAAGAATAAAAGCTGTGAAGTTTGAACAATACCAGGATTAAACAAATGCAAATATGGAAAATATTGATGTTCTCTCAGCACTTTTCTTAGTTAAAAGTTGTGATATAGGCTGTGAAAAATAGGACAAGTTATTATTGAGATCAGAGTGATTACACAGATACTGCTCTGAACTGAAAATCTTAAATCTGTAATCATTTATTATAACACTAGCTGGATACCTGTGCTTCACTACAAAACTGTAAGGAGTCCCAGGCTGCTCCTGAGTGAAGGAGTGGAACATCTACCAGTTTGAACTGAGGTAACGGAATGTGAGGCAACTGGCAGTTGGAACAGAATTCCTTTCAGGTGGGGAGGGGGAGTAGAATGTCTAAACTCCCAGCCCGCAGCCAGATGGATCGTGCGCTGGCCATGCCCACGTCCGGTTTAGCGAAGGGGTAGCATCAGAGCCTATTTACTATAAGGCAACTGAAAGTTATAAGAAATATTGATGATGTGATGGTCATTTTGAAAAATCCTTTCTTAGCGAGCACCTAGAAGCCAAGAGGAACATACATACATGCTGAATTACAGCTTTGTAGGCTTTGCAGTTCTGGAGATTTTGTGATGAGTGAGTGGTATTTGGCTTATATAGAGATAGATAGATATTGTGAAAGGGATTTTTTCCCCTCCAAAATCTTCCTTACTAACCCTGAGGAGCATTTCTGTGGTACAAAGAAGAACACTATTAGTATAATAGTAAACAAATAAACCTAATCAGTAATACCTCATCAGTTATGGAGGAATCTGGACCTGAAGTGAGGTGTGGAATTAAAAGACTGGCTAGTCTGGAATCACTGAAAGGGAGGAAGCAGCATAAAACAGACTGTCTTTAAACGTCAAAGTGCTTATCTAGTTCTCTAGTGAGTGCAATGAGTCTGATCAGATTCCTGTTAATAGGCAAGTATCAATAATCATACCATTCTGATCAACTACCTGTGTAGTTATAGTTCTGATTCCTTATGCCTGACATTAGTAATCATTAAGTTGTTCCTTGTTCATTGATCTTCTTGTGGATTTTGAAAAATGTCACTTACATCACCTTTTGAATTATTTATCTCCAAATTTGTAATCATAGCTGCAAATTCTCTGGTTGTTCTATGAAGTGTGAATGTTAAAGGAATACAGGTAGTTCTTAACTTATAACCACAATTTGAACCAGAATTTCTGTCCTAAGTTATTGCCGTCATAGCTCAAGTCAGACCTGTTCTTAGAACAATTTTTATGGTGGTTGTTAAGCAATCCAGTTTCTTCAATGGGGGTATTTTGCCAGAAATTGCCAAAAATGCCACAAATTGTGATCACATGACTACAGGATGTTGCAAAGTTGAAAATGTAGGCTGATTGCCAAATGGAGTTTACTAGGACAAGGCTGCCATGCAGAGGAAGGTAGACTTATGACTTATGACTACAATTGAACCCAAAATTTTGGTTGCTAAGCAAGCATGTTGTTAAGTGAGCTTCACCACATTTTACCCACATTTTACCCAATGCATGACATCTCTTGGTGAGTGACATCTAGTTGGCCATGCCAACCCAGTCACATGACCGCCAAGCCATGCCCACAAAATAGGCCACACCCACAGAATAGGTAGTAAAATTTTTGAAACCTACCACTGATTTACACCCATGTCAGTACTATCATCCTTTCTAAAGATCCCCTTTAAAATAAACACATCCCCCACAGAGATTAAGATTGGTGCTCTCTCTTAGGGTTCTGGAAGGTTTTGAAAACCTGTCTTTGGTCCCAGGCCTGGGGTTGATTCCAGTGGTGGGTTCCTACTGGTTCTGACTAGTTTGGCTGTACCAGTAGTGGTTTGGCAGCCTGGGCCGCTGGAACTGGCAGCAACCCAGGCCTGCCACGCCCCCAAGCCGGTTCTCCTTTGGTGGCACCATCTTGATTTTCAGTTCTGCGCATGCGCAGAACAATTTTCATTACAGAAATTTATTTTTTCCCATTTTTAAAAACACTTTGCGCATGCACATTTATCAACAATTGTGCATGTATGTGGAGCATGCACCTGGCATGTATGTAAGCAAAGCGAGCGTGAATACGCACAAATTTTCTGTGCAATGAACTGGCAGTAATGCCGGGAGCAACCTACCCTTGGTAGATTCTATTATTTGTTCAATGCTCCTTGTCTTATTTTGTTGATTTTGCTGTCCATTAGATTGTTTTAGTCTGGGCTGTCTGTTCGATTTTAATGCATTTAGTTTTTTTTATGTTTTTTTCTAATTTTGTATGCTATATAAATTGGAGAGCTTTTTAACCTTAAACGTTTAAGAGCAGAATGCTTTTTGAAGCAGCAATTTCAGACATTTTTTTGGCAGATTTTATATATGGACTGCTGACTACCCT